AAAGTGCATTTTTAAAAGTGTTTAATAAGTGTGTTGAGAAAGAGTCATGAAACTGTCTCTCAGTTCACTTAACTGTCCTTTATTTCATCAGTAGGGTCTGCAAGTACAGTTCTTTCAAGATTGGTCATTATATGAGGACCTTATACTTCCTGTTTCACATCTGTCTTGTGAAATTCAATTCTTTCTAACCTAAAAATTACACAATTGCCTGCCACACAGACATGCCACATCCCTAACAAACACACACTTGAGCAGTGCACCAACCTGACGCTCTGTGTCTGTCAAGACACAGCAAACAAAAACAGACCATCTGTGCGTATTTGATCCAGCACCTGCACCCTTTACGTAAACACGGCGCTCAGAAATAAGCAGTGTCTGTTTGACTTCAGCCGAGCATTTATAGGAAGCACCAGCAGCCACTTCCTGTTGAGAGAAATGCTTAGCGTGCCTATTAATAACCGGAGCACAGCTTTTTTGTTTGGACTAGAGGGAGAGGTGCCCGGCTAAAACACCCACAGCTAATAGAGAGTGTTTAGCATCTATTCATTCCGCCGGGCCGGGACTCGGTCTGCTTAAGAGCTCAGCCACTCTCACTCTCAACATGAGCGCCAATAAAAGAAGAGGCCTTATATTTCAGGCCTCTGCTAGCTGGATGCATGTTATGTAAGGGATCATTTTCAGTCTTGATGCAAAGCAAAAGGGTCTTGTATCGAGGCTGAAAGGGTTTGTTTTGCCAGAATGACTGTAGATTATGACACTTATTACATGGCTATTTGTCAAATAAATAAATAAATATGGAAAATCAAGTATTCCAGAGTGCTGTCTAATAATATGTATGGGTTGAACATTTTGTGCTGAATGTTTTATATGCTCAACTGCAGTTTGTCTACTGTGTACACATCAGATTGACTAAAAATAGTGTATATCAAGGGACCATCTACAGTATAGTAACTACAACCAGAGCTGTAGTAACAGAAAACATCATGCAAGATTCTGCGTTTATTAGACCATTTACATAACAGATGTGCTTTTATGATATACAGCTTCTTAAATGTTTTTCTGCAACAACTAAACAACAAAAATGAAAGCAACTGGAAAGTAAATTGAAAAGTAGTATTAATAAAAACCAATTTGAAAATGCAAACTATAATGATGCCAGTTAGAGATTTCTAAACCTGTAACCAGATAACCTTAGAATATGGAATATACTGTAAAATAAATAAATAAATAAATCGTAAAAAAAATGGTCAAATGACTGGCAGCTACAGCTGCAAAACAAAAACCGTAAAATTACAGTAAAATATCTTAACTGAAATAAAGTGCAAAAACAATTTTACAGAAATTTTCATTAAAGGTTTTACAGAAAAAAAATGTTTACAGATTTCTCCTTGTTTCAATTATATTTTACTTTAATTTTACGGTTTTTGTTTGGCAGCCGTAGCTGCCAGTCATTTACCGTTTTTTTTTTACAGGACTTTTTTTACAGTGTGTGTTTTAGTATGTTAGTTAGTCAAAATAAGTGTGTCTTTAAATCACAACAAAACATTATTAAAACATGACTGACTATAAAACTTTTAATTTGACATTATTATAAAGTGCATTTTTAAAAGTGTTTAATAAGTGTGTTGAGAAAGAGTCATGAAACTGTCTCTCAGTTCACTTAACTGTCCTTTATTTCATCAGTAGGGTCTGCAAGTACAGTTCTTTCAAGATGTGAAGTGTAGTACAAGTGCACATTCAACACAATTAAGCACACTTCTTTTTAACAAGGGTGATTTCATGACACTATCACGATTACAACTTACATTCAAGCAGTAGCAACTAGTCAAGTGTCCTGCAGGTCAAAAGCAGCTCTGAGCATGTATACGTACTCAAGGACTTGCAGGACGGTGTAATTTACTGCTAGTGAATCAATAGCCTAGAAACCCCAGACACTAACCACAAAAACCAGTGTCTTTATTCTCCATTTAACCTCTGTGACCTTCCTCACCCTCACAGGTCTGTGCATCGTCATATCTGTGGAGATCATGAGGCAGTCGGTCAAACGCATGATTGACAGCGACGAGACCATATGGATCGAGTACTACTATTCGTGGTCCTTCGCGTGCGCCTGCGCCGCCTTCACCCTCCTCTTCCTCAGCGGCATCAGCCTCCTCATCATCTCCATGCCACACATGCCCAGAAACCCCTGGGAGACCTGCATGGACGCCGAACCAGAACCCATAGACTAGAGTACCCTGTTGAAAAAAACCAGCATATGCTGGTTAGGTATGTTTTGATGCTGGGATGCTGGTTTAAGCTGGTCCTTTGCTGGTTTTAGCTGGTCCTTTGCTGGTTTATGCTGGTCATGTGCTGGCAAAGGACCAGCATAAACCAGCAAAAGGACCAGCTTAAACCAGCATCCCAGCGTCAAAACATACTTAACCAGCATATGCTGTTTTTTTCAACAGGGTAGCCTCGACCACAGAGTAAGAGCGCAACGCAGCTGACACAGGAGTCATACTAGCAGAGTGAATGATAATGATGCATTGCATTTATAGATGATGATAGTGATGCATTGATATTTTTAACTAAGCACTGACAGAGAGACGGATAGATTATCCAAAAAGTTTGTTTATTTTATAGATTCTTTGAAACTGTGTCCAGGAGAAGAATGTAAGTCAAACAGGTTTGAAAAGATTTGATGGTGAGTGAACGATAACAGAATTTACATTTTTGGGTAAACTATCCCATTACCCTGTCGAAAAAACCAGCATATGCTGGTTAGGTATGTTTTGACGCTGGGATGCTGGTTTAAGCTGGTCCTTTGCTGGTTTAAGCTGGTCCTTTGCTGGTTTATGCTGGGACTTTGCTGGTTTAAGCTGGTAATAAACCAGCAAAAGGACCAGCATAAACCAGCACATGACCAGCATAAACCAGCAAAAGAACCAGCATAAACCAGCAAAAGGACCAGCATAAACCAGCAAAGGACCAGCTTAAACCAGCATCCCAGCGTCAAAACATACCTAACCAGCATATGCTGGTTTTTTCAACAGGGAAAGTCTATATGAAATATCGAACATGCATTTTGTATGTTTTATGGTATATGAAAACATTTTTGTGTGCATTCATGCTTATATGCAATAGATGACAGCTTAGAATGTATATTTAGGGACTTGTTTATAGTACGTAAAGTTTACAATCTGTTATTTCTGAAACCGTGCCATTGAAGGTGACGATGGATGACCATAAAAGCATAAGCAACGATGGCTATTTGTTGTACAAGCAGTTTCAGCAAACACAGATTGCACTTTAAAGTGAGGTGAATCTAATAACATTACTAGCACAGGCTTATACTTCCCAGGTAATTTAAGCGGTTATATTCTTTACGCACGTCACACTGGGACTTCCTGCTTTGGAGCGAGTGAATCTCAAAGAACTGCCTCGAGACAGACTGTTAAAACCCCACAAACATTTTCTGTGCTGATGTAGCTGGGGCAGGACATATTGAAGGTCTTGTCCTTTTTTATTTTTTATAGCCACTAGCCTTTAGTTTAAGACACCTCCGGACCATGAGTTACTGCTTCCTGTTGCTGGTTTGAGGCATAATTTAGAGGGAAGGACATTCTGGTTCTCATTTGACTGTACGTTTGGCCCATTTTCCAGGAAGAAAAGGATTTAAAATGTGTGTATAAAATGAGTATACTCGCATAGAAATAGTTTAAACTAATAGACATGGACTGAAATCCACAAAACATTCATGCATATATTCATATTCAATGAGCTTATTCTGTTATTCACACGTCTTTGTTATTCTGCATTGTACTCCATTATATTGGACACAGTGAGCCAGAGTTTGAAATGTGCACTGCCACCTTACAAATGGGACATTTAAGATGTCGAATGGTTATAGATTACGTGCGTTTTGAACATAGTCCAAGGGCTTTTGAATCAGTGGCCAAATAATGAACAAAATTCTGATTTAAGAATAATGAATGCTCATTTTCTGTATATTTGCTCATTTACTAATTCTAATGTAGTTCCACGGTACAATGATATCAGTTTGCTTTATTGCTAACAGCTTCATTAAAATGACCAGTTTTTGTTTTTGGTTGCTTCTTGCATTTTTCCAGCACTAATAACCATTTCCTGAGAATAAGTAAATGCATTATAGCGGTCATAATAGTTAATTTTTATATCCCGATCAGGTGAGCACAAACAAAACCTCCTTGTTGCTTATTAAAACTGAGCATTTTGATATCCAATAACAAGCAGACTCTTGACAAATCAACTTTCTGCTCATTTGACAGCTTTGCGTTTTTCCATGTATTTGCAAACATAATAATAATAATAAATAAAAAAATCTAAAATGTTCTGATGTCCCATTTCATTGCTAATAAAAAGGTTTGATATTTGCCTAGGTGATATTTTTTACGTTCTACATGCAGATGTGGTAGTAGAAGAATAAAGCACACAACTCTCATCTCATTCATTTATTCATATGTACAGGTTTGAGAAAATCTGTCTACATCTATACAACTTTTTATAATATTTTTGTTTTGTTTTATCCGAGTCAGTTCACCACTCAGCAGCAAGCACAAGAAAACACACCAAGAAACTTAACATCATAAAAAAAATGCCAGCTGGGGAAAAATCACTTCAACAAGTTTTACTTCTGGGAGCGGATGCAAAGAGAGCGGACATAATTACAGGAAAGACGGGCAGCTGAGTGGTCAACCAATTCATGGTGTTTTTAAAAATCTTTTTTCCATAAATCTTTTTTTTTTTTTTATGGTTTTTTAAATGTTTTTCCCCCAAATGTTTTGGTGTTTCATGAGATATATATATATATATATATATATATATATATATGCTGATTCGGTTTGTAAAATCACAGATGCCAAACTGTAAAATAACCAACTATAGTACTAAAGCAAGTAAAAAATAATAAAACGCAAAATGTCTAACTATTCCACAAAATCAAAATAAATTTTTATTGTTTTTTTTAAGATTATTATTCTATTTTTTTTTCAACAGTTTTCCTTTTTAACAGGTATATATAGTATATATATGTTGACTTATTTAAAATACGTGTAATAGCCATTGCTACTGTTTGAACTGCCTATGCTAAGTTCCTGTAACAGAGAGATGGGGTCACTGTTCTTCTTGACCTGCTCGGGCAGCGGCCGGGGCTTTGGAGGGGCTCGGAGGGCACTGGCGTAGGACATGGTCGGGGGCTTGGGGTTGCCGGGCCCCTGGGGGCCCCCTGGGCTGGTGTTGCCCCCTCCCGGGTCAGGTGGGGTCTGCTTGCTGGGCATGAGGGGTGGGAACTGTCCGTGGTGCTGGAGAGACGCGGCGCTGGCGGGGTGAGGCGACTGCTGCTCATCCGCGATGCTCATCGCCTTTGAAACTGAGGAACAATTAGCGCACGTCGTTACTACTTTAACACAATAGCATCAAGTGCCAGTTATTATATTCATCACAGGTCCAGTGTACACGGGTTAATGGGATCACAGGCAACATTAATGTTCATTATTAAACAATTAAACACGCTATTGCTTTTCACTTGGTATAGACATTTTTGTACATGACTAAAATTATGTATAAGGTTGATTCTATGGATGAGCAAAACTTAATTTGTGGGTTGTCTGAACGGCTGCACAATTGGTATCAGTACAATGGTGCATGTCCGCCAGACAAATTAGACATGGTTTTCAAAACGGGACTATTTTTAACTGCATGCAGCATCACGGTGCGGCACATTCACTCTTGTTCAGCTTCTTTAAATTAAATTATTTGAAATGCAAAACATTTCAAAAATACCAACACGATCAATACGATGATTGAAAATAGCTTTACAATACTGCAAGAAAAAGAATCAATATATTGATTACATAAGCAAATTACATCAGTGTTGTTTTTGTATTAGTTATATAGCATTTCTTTATATTTTAAAAATAGCTTTTATTTTAGAAGCAGCTTTTATTTGAATATTTCCAGCTTTTAGTTTAATTTTACTGATTAAAATCAGAGTAGAACAAGAATCACAATATAGTATATTACATACCTATATGACATACGATCACAGCAGCAAAACCAGTATTATTTTAGTATTGTTTGATTACATAGGATTACAGCATTTATTTTTATTTTTAGAAGTAGCTTTTATTTTAATATTTTTGGTTTTCATTTTACTTTCAGTTTAAGTTGTAGTCATGAAAAATAGCTTTGCAATACTGCAAAAAACAAAACAAAAAAACTAACAAAAACCTACATATGATTGTTATTTTTGCATCATTTATATAGTATTATAGTATTTATTTATATAGCTGTTATTTTAATATTTTCGGTTTTCATATTTAATTTTAGTTGTAGTGATTAAAAATAGCTTTGCAATACTGCAGAAAAAAAAAAGAATTGCAATATATTCCTACATACAATGGTATATTTTTGAATAATTTATACAGGATTACATTTATTTATAAGTAGCTTTTATTTTAATATTTTCGAGTTTTGTTTTTAATTTCAGTTTTAGCTATTAAAAAATAGCTTTGCAATACTGCAAAAGAAGAATCAGAATATATTAAGACATATAATTACATCAGCTAAACCAGTGTTATTTTAGTATTGTTTATATATCAGTTTTAGTCAATTTGGTACTTCAAATTAAAATTTGATTCAGTTAGTTGCCAAGGCAATATTCCAAACATTTTTTAAGCTATTCTTTTAGCTTTATTTAAATGACTGAAAACAAGTTTGAATAGTTTTAGTGAATAATAACAACACTGAGCACAGCAATCATTTTGACTCATCACTAGATGACTCAAATAGAATAATTGGATGCTGTGAATTTCCTTAATAGACATCCAACATTGAATAAAAGGAATAAGTGCACTTGCATATCACGACAACAGCCACCAAAATCTATCCTACGCATGCAAAGCTCATCGAAACGCACCTAAAACCTCCCTGTGAGGGACGGGGTGGCTCGCTCCGTTACATGGAATGTTGTGGAGAGGAGCGGGGCTCGGGCCGGGCCCGCTGCTGCCCAGCCATAGGTCTGCTGAGGGGTATCTGTAGGAGGGCGTGGGGTGGTCCTGAGGATCCAGGCTGTCCAGATACGGCTGGGGGGAGCTGGAGGAGATCCTCCTCTGGTATAGAGGCCGCCCGGGGCCCCGTGGTTCATACTGAGAGACAGAAAATGAGTGTGGGAATAGGAAGAAACTAATGCAATCAAAGAGATACTCATTTGGATGCATTTGTGTCCAACCCTCTGATTGAAACATCAAAAACAGAGGGAGCTCAGTTGAATGCCAGAGATATGTAGTCCAATTCAGACATGATTTATTATTTGATGTCTTTTTTCAGCCTATTTTTATATGCCAAATCACACGAGGAGAAGCAGAAGTAAGAGAACTAAGAATACCAAAAGTGTAACTACTCTGTTTTAAAGCAATATTCTGGGTTTTTTTCTAATATGTCTATATGCTGTCATTACCACGGGGCAGGCAATAATTTCAATGTGTCCTTCAGTGTTTACAAATGTACAAAAAATTTAAAATACTCAAATCACAAAAAATGCTTATAAAACATTCAACAATTTCACAGTTCTGATCAGCTGCTCCAGTAAAGTTTGATATGATTTTAGTGTCTTGAAACTATTTATACGGAGCAAACTCCTACAGGAAGTACTTTGGTTAGTACATAACCAGTAGTTTATCCACCTACGTTGTAGAGTGATTCAACAAAAATGTGAGCTTTTAAAACCTTCTGGTCCGCTTGGACTATAGACTTCCATTGAAAGTCCATTACTGTGAACACGTTTCCCATTTGTTTTTACAAACTGAGACTATTAACAATTATTTTCTGTGGTAATACAGTGCTGCAATGATGGCATTTTTTGTAGGCCAACCATAAATTTTGCATCACCCTGGTTCCCTCGACAAAAAACCTAATAGGACTTTCTCCATTGGCTTTTGGATTATTGCAGAAAATAAGCTCTGTGACCAACAAAAGTTTGATTCTTACACGTTTTGTTCATCAAGATAATCTTCACAATGAACATGAGTTCACAAATGTTCCGTTTCAATTAAATAAATATATGCAATGCAGGTTTAATATATGCACTTTATTTACATGCGTGTAGGTTACGTACGTGCGTGTCAGAGCGAGTAAATGCTGCTCCACACAAACTGTTATCATTTACAGTAAAGTGTAAAACAATCGTCAGGCCTTTGGCACCCTATGCAGTCATTTGTTATAATGCGTAATGTACGTTAGATCTATTGTTGATAGTAGATTATGTATTTTAACAATTTTGTTCAATAAAACCATATGATTACTTGTTTTTGGTATGTTATTTGAACTAATTACTATAGTCTCATTGCTATTATATATGTATTTTAAGTCATTTTAAAGGCTAGTATTCGCTTAGGTCTATTTTTATTACCACAAAAAATTAATTATAATTATCTGATTACTGGATTAATCGTCAGAATAATTGACAGATTACCAAAATAATAGTTTTGAGTCTAAATCGGCCAGAAGTAAAAGCGAAAGCAAGGCTACAAACTTTAACGTCACTACTAGTTAGGGCTGGGTATCGAGTTCGATACTTTTTAGGCACCGACCGAATTGCCTCGATACCATCGAGTATCGAAAAACGTCCAAGGCCCAGCAGAGGCTGTACTTCCTTCGCCAGCTCAGGAAGTTCAACCTGCCACAGGAGCTGCTGAAACAGTTCTACTCTGCTATCACTGAATTCATCCTCTGCACTTCTATAACTGTCTGGTTCAGCTCAGCTACCAAATCTGACCTCAGAAGACTAAGCTGCTAATGCTCATCAGTAAATCAGTGGAAAATTAATAGAAATCATGATTCTGTCTGAGCTATGCGTTTTAAAACGAACACTAACTAGTGTAAATGTAGCCTAACAGATGTGTAAACTGAAGACTATTTGAGCTTTATTGAAACTATATAAACTATATGATTTGTGTTGGTTACATTTTGTTCCTTTGTGCAGTGGCTCAGGAGATGAGTCTTTGAGTTTGTATAAACATCAACAAGCTGAGAAATAAAACCAAAGTTTTTTTTTTAGATAATGTAATCTTGTTAAAATTGATTTCATAAAATTGGTATCGAAAAAAGTATCGTTCAGGAACCGGTATCGAAGTCAAGGTATCGGTATCGGTATCGATATCGAAAAATTTTGAACGATACCCAGCCCTACTACTAGTAAGCTTCTGACAATTCTTCCAATCATTATTTAAAATCTTTTGAAGTTTGAACGTTCGAGTCGATTATAAACACAATGGGGTTGTGAAAGCGGACTAGTGAGTAGACGAGTTTCGGTGTGATCATGTTTAATGTCTCAACAAATCTCTGTAGTCCAATTTAGCTATTTGTTAGTAACCGCCATTTTCAAGACAAGTAAAAGCTCAAGCAGGCTATTACTGATCCATTTTACATTGTAGAATAAACCATGAAAATATCTTGAGCTTATTTTGACCACAGACCTTATTTTAGGCATTTAACCCAAAAACCTTAAAAAAAACAAAAAAACATTGACTTCAGGAAACAAAGTGCTAAAATGACTAATTCTTAAGTTTTATTACTCATTCATGGAATATTCCATTAAAACAAACTCAATCACCCCTTTGACAGCAGTTACAGCGACAAGTGACAGTAATTTGTTGATTTTCAATGCAAATTGTTCATTTGTGGCAACATTATCATCTAAGGCTTTTGATGAGAGTTCAGCTTTGTGTAATTATGCAGTGACTACTAATGCGAGCGCAGACAAGCGAAACAGTGAAGATTTCATTTAACAGCCCAAAGACAGGCCTCACCTCTTCTACGCTGTGCAGGGAGCTCTGCGGGGCCTGGAGCTGCTGTTTCTGCTGCTGGTGCTGCAGCTGCGTGAGGGGGCCCTGCTCTTGCCTGTGCGCCATGGCCTGCAGGCCAAAGGGCATGCCGTGGCCCAGCACATGGCTCTGGGGTAGGCCAGGGTGGGGCCAGTGGGCCTCCTGGAGGAGGTATTTGACCGGAAGAGGCCCCGCTGTGTGCTCGGGCGGCAGGGAGAAGGAGGCCTGATTGAAGGCTTGGTGCGGCTGGAAGGGCTGGCCGCCCATGGGCAGCTCTCGGCTGGTGTCGGGGAAGGTGGGCGGACCTGGAGCTGGGAAGAGATTGGGGCCGGAGGTGTGGTTTGAGCTGGAGGAAGAGGGAGATGGCAGGTCTCCGGGGCATCGGGGCTGGACTTGACGGTACTGAAGGAGGCGAGACTGAGGAGGGGGCATGTCGGCCGGCTCCCGCTGCTCATACTGGTCTTGAGGGAGCATTTCACGCAACAGACCGGGATATCTGGAGAGAGAGAGAGAAAGAGACTGAGCGAAAGAAGCAGGAAGGTAAGACTCAGGATATGGTCGGAATGGAATACTAGCTTACTACATTCTGCACTGTATACTGTGTATACATACAGTCTATTATATTTTCAAAAACAGCATAGAAAAATGGCGAAACAATGAAACAAACTTAATAACAGTAATAAACAATGAACAGAGGTGTGCTACATTGTGAGTGGATCTTATCAGATTTTTAAATCATCAGAAAAAAAATTTGCATTCCGAGAAAGTTTGCATTTGCTCGCAAAATGTTTTCGTTCACCTGAGCAACTTTTGCATTAATTCGCAAAACTGTTGTTTTCGCTCACAAAACTTTTTCGTTCTCCCAAGAAAATTGTGCATTAATTCGCAAAACTGTTGTTTTTACTGACAAAACTCCCAACACATTTCTGCGTTCGTTTGCAAAACCGTTGTTTTCGGGTCACAAAACTTTTGCGTTCCCCTGAGAAACCTTGCGTTTGCTTACAAAACTTTTTCGTTCTCCCAAGAAAGTTGTGCACTAATTTGCAAAACTGTTGTTTTCGCTCACAAGACTTTTGCATTCTCCCGAGAAACTTTTGTATTCATGCGCAAAACTGTTGTTTTCACTTAAAAAAAACAAAACATTTGCGTAGAATGCAAAGTTTCTCGGGAGAACACAGAATGTTTGTGATAGAAAGTAAAAGCAATAGAGTCATTTTTTTCCTCTCATCACATTCTTTTGCATCATGTCCCTTTAGAGGTGGCACAGCATCTAGTTATCATCATGGTAATAAATACATTTACCTTATGAAATTTTACATACTACTGAATTCTGGTTTCATCAGACTTGCAAAATAATATAAAGCGAGCAGGACAAAGAGTCTTCTAACCTGGGCATGGCAGGTCTGGGCTCCTCCTCTGCTGCAGGGCCCAGGCCCCAGCCGGCTCGGAGGAGCTGCTGGGGGAGTCGCAGACCCGGCTGGCCGAGATGAGTCAACTGCTGCGCCAGGGGGAAGGGGGCCACACCGGCCTGCAGAAACGGAGACTGTTCACCCCACTGACCCACACGAGTCTGCTGGTGCTGCTGGCCCAGAGCATCCAGCCCAGAGGAAGCCTGACCATCTGTGAAAACACAACAGAGAAAGCCCATGACATGCTGGGAAAACACAAAAGGTCTGTTCACTAATCCCCAGCATGACTACTTCAGCAGACAGACACATTCAAGTTCTCCTGAAGGAGGCTAACCAGGTTCAGGATAAGAAACAACCATGATTAAAGAAAACAAATATTTAAGGTAACAGTTTATTTTACGGTGTCCTAGTTACATGTACTTACCATACTAATAACAGTAAATTATGTATAATAAGTACAGTATGTACATGCTGTTAAGTTAATTACACTGTAAGGACTCAAATTATTGACACGTATGTTCTTAAATTCTTTTCACATTTTAAATTTGGTTATGCTTTATTTTATGTTGTTGGTAAGGTGTTCTGGCTGGTTGCTCTGCAACTGCTTTGTAATTTTTTATATAGTTTTTATTAACGCTGTCAAACGTTTAATCGTGATTAATCGCATCCAAAATAAAAGTTTTTATGTAAACAGTTTTTATGTTTACATAATATATGTATGTGTACTGTGTTTATTTATTGTGTATATATAAATACACACACATACAGTATATATTTTGAAAATATTTACATGTATATACAATTATATTATTATATTTTATATTATATAAATATATAAACATAAATTTTTTCTTAAATATATACATGCATGTGTTTGTATTTATATATACATAATAAATATACACAGTACACACTCATATATTATGTAAACAAAAACTTTTATTTTGGATGCAATTAATTGCGATTAATCATTTGACAGCAGTGGTTTTTATGTAGTTGCTAAGCGTCCTGAGTGTCGTATTTTAATCATGATCATGATTTCTACTTCTCTCGATTAATTAAGCATAATCATCTGAGATATTGGCCTGCGGGTTATTTATTCTGAAAATGGTTTTATTAGGGCTGTCAAAATTAATGTGTTAATTGTGCAATAATTTTTTTGCCTGCTGCAGTTTGTGTCATTGATGTAAATCAAAGAACAATCAAAGAACTTCGGTGGTTTACTTTTGTAGCTTAACTAAAGATTAATCTATAGTCAATTTATAGTTTATGCATACATAATTTATACTATATGTGAGGATTGTTTTAAGTTTTAAATTGGTTAATATAATTTGGCATTATTAATGTAATTCATATTAGTAATTTCACTGTTTTAGCTTTTGAGAGAAGCTTCTTAAGGTTTTGCCCTTTGTAATGTAGAAAGTGCAATAATTCTGATGAATGTAAAAAGAGATCTCAAATAATTAATAACCACAATTATAATTGTGTAGCCTTACTTTCTAGGGTGTTGGTCTGCAGCTGCTGTGGCGTTCTGACTGGTTTTGTGTGTGTTGCTGCATGGTTGAGGGGTATTCTGGGGGTTGACAGTGCGTTACTAACATGGTTGATACCATTTTCTGAGTGTTTTGAGTGCATTGCTATTGTTTCCTGCATGGTTGATTCAGACTCCGTTCAAGGAGCTCAGAGAGACTGTTTCGATTAAAAAAAAAAAATGTTTTTTTATGCCAAAAAAAAAATCTAAGTTGGTGTGAAAAGGCTTTTACACTGTCAAATTCAAACCCTTAGGCACAATACTGTAGAATTTATGAGAAGCTTGAAAGGCTGGTACTTGAACTAAACTTACAACTGTCAAAGTTGTTGGGAAAGAAAATTCAAAACTTTGATACAGAAAGCAGTCGGAATAAACACTACAGCACAATACATCAAAGGAAATGAACAGGTTTGAAGCACTGTGATCCATGCATGCACATACCCAGAGTATCGCCCAACAGAGAGTCCAAACTCTCTTCTCCAAAGCTGTTGAGGCGCAGGGGCTGCTGGTGCATCTGTGGGGGAAGGCCTCTCACCACACCCTTCAGATCCTCAGCCACCCCTCCTGGACCCGCTCCCATCGAGCCCTCGCCACCCTCCAGCACTGGAGACCGAAGCCCGCGGTGTGCCATTGGAGGCCCACTGAAGAACGATGGGGGGAAGGACGAGGCCTGAGGGTGGATGGGGGCCTGCATTCGGAGGGGAGGTCGGGATAGTCCATACTGCTGCGGAAATGGGCTGTTCCCGTGGTGAGGGGGGAAACCGGGATGCGGGTGGCCCAGGTGGAAGTTGAGGGCCCTCTGGGCCTGCGGGTCTTTGCGAATGAGGCGGCTGCCAGGGAAGCCCATGTTGGCATGGGGCTCTGGACTCTTGTTTTGCACCGATTCCGGGTCTCCCTGTAGAGAGGAGGATGTACAATGGTCACGGACATGTGACGCTAATGGAGAGTGTAAGAGAGTAGGAGAAGTGAAGTGTTTTGAGCATGCAGGGGACGAGTGAAGATAGATGGTCCATGTTACAAGTGCTCTTGTGGGAAGGCATAGTGGGCGGCTCCTTTGATTTATTTCAGATTAAATCGGGAAGGACATATGATAGATCGATAGATAGATAGATACAAAAAGAGAACGGGCAGATGGATGGTACCTGTTTTTCCTTCAGCTCAGGGGCTTTCCTCTCGGGCGTCAGCAGCCTACAATGCTCCGTTTTTCCATTAATGTCGATTTTCCCTAAAGAATGACAACAAATCAGCAGAATAAAACCCCAAAAGGCCTCACCACCAGCCGTATATGAGGACTCAAACCAGAGAGTTCGCCAAGTTCAAAAACTTTCAAAATAAACTTTTACAATGTAATATAAGTGAAAGTAAAGCCAATGCAAACAGGCCTGATGTGAAACAGTATTTTAAAGGAACATTCTGGGTTGGTTTCCATCCGCAGAGGATATCGTTGAGGAAGTATTTTAGTATGTATACTTGAATATTTTGCAAAGGCGTTTTTGCCAAAATACGAGCTACATATTTCATCCTATAAACCCTCCTGAGTTCAAATATAAGTGCATTATCGTAAACAATTTTTGTAATTCTCGAACAATACATCCAACTAGCCCAAACCTACTAAACTAAAATATTTTTTTTTTGTTATACATTTATCAGTATCTGTGCTCCCTGGGATTCAAACCCATGACCTTGGCGTTGCTACTGGCACATATCAGTTGAGCTACCAGTATTGTTAAAATGAATACACTAGTGCTGCGAATTATACCATTCCCACTGGGCTCCTGAAGTAGTTCTTTCTCAGAGGTGGGCTGCTGGTTCAGGCCTAGAGGAGACTGGTGACTGATCCCATACAGCACAGGTGAGGTGCGACTGGCTGCTGGCCGCAGGTTGAGGTTGTATGCAGCCATGGCGGCCTGATGACTCATGATGCGAGGATCCACAGCGAAACGGCTCTGGTAGCCGGGCCATGGCAACTGGTGAAGAGAGGGTGAGGTGTGAGTCATACAAGTGTACAGCATGCATTGAGGATTGATAGATAAGGGCCTCCAAATTCCAGGAAAAAGAACATGAAAACAGGGTGAAACATCTCAAAGATTCTCAAAAATAAACAAGTTATGACCCATGTTGGAGAGTATGAGAAATAAGTCCAGAACATACCGGAAGAGGCATGGGCATCACCATATTGCCCCCATAGACAGCGGGCACATACAGGATGCTGGCTCCAGGGTCGATTCTTTGAACAGGGCTTGGTGATTTGCCGGAGGCTGGAGCTCCGGCTCCTGGTGGAGTAAAGGCTTGAATCGGGTTCCCCATCAACACAGCAGCACTGGGCTGAACTGAAGATACAAACATCGTCCAAAACTGAGACTAATAAATCATACCTCATAACATTACACTAATACTCTTGGATGGTAAAGCAGTAGAACCGGAATCATTTCTGACAACACTATGAATTGCTCTTTTGTTCAGTAATCAAACAGTAACAAGCTGATTACTGAGTAAAGTCATCATATCATGATGAAGTAGGTGAAATCTAACAGTTGGCAACTAGACATTTAGCAAACATGTTCATCCCTGAGCAAACTGGAGAAACACTAATGATGAAATAAAAATTCTAGACATTTGTCCTCCAATTTATACATTTGCTAGACCCTTAAACCAAATTTGACTCTCCGCAGCATGTTTATCACTGTTAACAAGCAAGAAAGCAAATGTGTAATAATGGAAAATGGCCCTTTCGGTTATGGCTGTTTATCTGTTGGCAAAACCAAATGTCTTGGCAAAAAATACTTGCAACATGTGTGACACAACACTGATCAATAGTTTAATTAAAACTCTTCTCCAAGTGTTATTTATTCACTGATTTAATTAAATCTCTACTTTCCATCTGTCGATCACAGCAATTTTATAGCACTCATTTTTGATAAGAGATTAATGTAATACAAAGATTAAGTGTGCGCACTTCCAAGATGGTAATTATGCAAACAAAGTTCAAATGAATCATATCTAAGACTATGTTTATTGGTGAATCTTACAAAATTCATCAAAAACATGTCCAGGTGACATTTCATCCCAAAATCAGAAAAAAGATCAATTATAAATAATATTTTGTATAAAGAAAATGAAGCATGTTTTTAGGACCATGAATATTGCACTGTGACCTTAATGACATTTAATGACAATTAAGCACACTTACTCCATAAGTATCAAACGACAAAGTAATAAATAAATAAAATAAAATAAAAAATTTAGTGTGAAGTATAACCTGAACATGTTCTTAATGTTTCTGGTAACACTTCAGTATAGGGACCAATTCTCATTATTAACTAGTTGCTTATTAGCATGCCTATTCATAACACTTTGGCAGTTTATTAGTATTTATAAAGCGCACATTCTGCATGACCATATTCTACATCCCCAATCCTACCCAATACCTAAACTTAACTATCTTACTAAGCAGTAATTAGGAGTTTGAGGCAAAAGTTGTAGTTAATAGTTAATTAATAGCGAGAACTGGACCTTAAAATAAAGTGTAACCATGTTTCCTGCGATTCACCCAATACTGATTCATCTGCAGGTCCTCTGTGAACAACCTAGTTTGGAAAAAAGCTTTCCCAATCAGACACAGGTCTGATCTAAAACCCTAGTGTGAAACTCTACGCCCTGATACACCCTAATCTGTACCAATTTCAGGGTCATCCCTGCTTCAGATTGAAGAGTTTGAAGCCCAACACCCCCAGAATCATTTCGCTACAGCCACCCCCGAAATGTCCTCACGAGCACTGAACAGCACAGACTACACACACACACCTGGCTCAAGTCATTTGCCCAGACACACGGCAATCCATGGAAGTAATTCAGGGGGAATTGGCGCTGCTGCCACACATGATCATGTTTTGATTGGGCGAGAAGTGAGGCTGGAAGGAAGTTGGATCCACTTGACTGATCTCGTCTCTCTCGGACTCCTCTATGCTCTCGCTCTCTGTCTTCTCTTTCTGCCTCGACAATCACTCAAGCGGCGCTCCACAAACTAATGACCTCGATTTGTTCTGACAGCACTGTCACATCACACCAATAATATCCTCAAACTCTCCAATCAGAGGTCAAAGGCTGTGAAAACATCTCCTTGCTTCACGAGGGGCTAATACAGCTGCTGACCTCTCCGTCACATTCTCCAGGTAACTGCTCCATATGAATGTTAAACGGGTAATGTGAAGTGGCTTTGACCACCTCAAATTAATCTTAAGTGGTGTCCTATACAAAGGTTTAACACCATAGAACCTGCTGCAAAATACACCAGTGCCAAGGTATATAATCTCACGACCTTTTCACACTGAGTGCGATGCGCAAAAGCGAGGCGAATCGCTGACGAACAGTGCTTTCACACCGAACACGAAACGATTGATCGCCTTCTGCTAATTCACGCCTGCACGCTAGGTGGCGCCGAACAACAATGCATTTTTCCTCAGATATGTATCTCATATGGATATAACATCATCCGCTGTTCAATATACAGCATTAAATGAATATAGCTAAATAAAATTGGGTTCTACGCCAGAAACACAAACTATCTATAATGCTAACAAGAAAACATCTTAAAAGCATCAAGCCACATTTGAAAATGTATGTAATTATTAATGTATTTGCTTAAAACCCACTTTAAACCATCATTGAGTGATTGTAATAACTTCCGATTGTGACCTATAGTTGACTTTGATTCTATAATAGGCAGACATGCACTCTTTCTATGTTTAATAACGCCACACTGCTTATGATTTGTCATAAACATCCTTTATTGTTATAAAAATACCACGAGTTGCATACAAAACACATACAGAAAATATATAGTCATAATCATGTCTATTTTGCTTTCATATTTCATGTGTATAAAAATGTTTCACTCAATTTTTTTTAATATGGAAGATCTAGAGAGTGAACGCGCTCCAACACTCGCTCACGTGGAAGAAAACGGACATGCCAGTTCACATAATTCAGTGAAGAATTAATAGAAATTAAATTAAGAACATGTGAGAATAAATCTGTTCTCAGATACCAAAGATAACAAGAACTTGGCATCCACTCTCTTCTCTCTCGGAATACTCTTCTTCTGTGTTTGTTTACACTGGTTTTCCAAACAGCGCCACCACTCTTTGACTTTTTGAGCAACAGTAGCTGCTCCGGTCACGTGATTTAAGCTCAAATCTAATTGGTTGGAGCGTTTCGAAAAAAAAAAATCAACACACAGGATGAAAAAAAATCACCACTTTTTCGTGCCACGAATGTTCGCGCCAGGTGTGAATAGTCCCATAGGGATCTATTGTTTCGATTCAAAAGCGTCATCGTGCCGAACATTCGTGTCGAATTTTCGCGCTCAGTGTGAAAAGCCCTTTAAAGTGTAGGACTGTTTTTCAGATGGTAGAATTGGAAATATAGTACCATGATTGCATGTACACCAAAATATAAACCAAAGTGTCTGCCATTACAAAAAAAAAAAAATTTTTTTATTCAAATTAAAGTAAAAAGTAAAATCAACTACATTGCTTTGGTGAATAAAAATGAATGGCAATAAATGAAATAAAATTATTAGTGTTGCAATAAAATTATTTTATTTTAAAAATAGAAAGAAATTTAATTTAATTTAGACTTGTATAATACTACATATAAACAATACAAGTTTATTTGCATAATGCTTGAATATAAACACTGATCAACGCACACACATTAAGCACATCAAATGTTATAAAGGGAAGCTGAACTTTTAGGTTTTTAGGGACAGGGACACATTAATTGTACCAAATATTGGGATATTATTATTAAAAACATTATATATTAATATATTATATCAAATGTCATTTTTTACTATACATTAATAATGTCAATCCTAGTGTACGTGATAAATCGAAGTATGATAATATATATAAAATGCCCTTTTTTTCCCCTTTGGATTTGGTTGTTTATTTGTTACCCATATACTAAATGTGTTGCCAAAAAAAATTGCACACATTGACATGTATTGATGTGATTACGGTATCGTGACAACCTTACGCTGTAGCATTTCAGAGCTAGAGAACACGTAATGAGAGCACATCCACCCAATTAAGAGAAGCCTGGGTGAAAATGTGTGAAAATGTTCAAACCTTCAAGAACAAGAGGCCAAAGAGAGAGAGACTTACCAAAGCCTTCAGGGGGGAAGGGTTCAGTGTGATTGGCCAGCTGTCCTTTCGCCTGAGGAGGAAGAGGAAGAGGAGGGTTGGAGTGAATCAGTGCTAGAGGATGAAGGAGTCTGCGTAGGGAAAGTGAAGGGGGTCTTACGCATCTAGTGTGCTAACTATAGTCACAGGGTCAGGGGGCCGTGCTTCCCCTTTCCGTGACGACTGTCACCCTGTGCACGAGCATTGCCGTGAGGCAGCACTGATTTGTCAAAACGGTTACAATGGTTTACTTCCACATGGCCAGGCAAATCTCGTCGGAGATGTTCTCGATACATGGGTCGGGGGAGTTGGCTCCACGTGGGTGGAGATTCAGTAAATTGAGGGCAGAGGGCGGTTTGAGGGGGCGGTTGGGAGCACACACAGATGATTTCCAAGAAAAACACAGCGCTAACTGCAAAGATAATCACTGAATCGAGTGGAACAAACTCTTGTTCTTGGTGCCTGAATTACAGCACTGAAATGTACAAGAAAAAAAACAAAACAAAAGCTCTCGCTTGTATTTTTTTGTGCTGCCAGTGCCAACAACTTCCAAATCAAGAGTCCATTGATGCGATCCGCTGGGAATGCGTGCCTTTTCAAAACAGATCAATGTGGTTGAGTGCATACAGAATGACATGCTGACAGCATCAACAGGCGATTGAGGCGTTCTGCTGGCCCGAGTCAAGGCAGCTCCGAGCACCGCCACTCTGGGGTCAGCACGTTTGCAGGAATCGCCGATCACACTACTTATTTCAATAGCATGTGATGAGCCACTTTCAGTACAAAGCCTGTGAAATTACAGCACAAAAATGGGGAGGCACCTGTCAAGTGTTGGATGAAATCAATGGCGATGTCTATAATTATCACACTCCACCGGGATTCTCATCTCTGATAGATCTTGATTGGTTATTTGGTAATGAATTGGGTTTTTTGAGTTCTTCCCTCCTTTGTCTGTATGGCAAAGCTTGTTTTTGACTGAGATTGGTATTGTTCCTCTTTTTGACCTTTTCCATTTGAGCTTTTAAAGTTTTAGGTTGCTGTGGTGACATCATTGTTATTGTGTTAAGGATACAAACATTGGGAGACTGGTAAGCAAAGTCAAAACAAAAATTTATATTAATGGGCCAATACACATATTTACGGCTTGGCCACTGAAAGCGCATGCATGTGACAAGTAGTAAGTGTGCAAGACTGTTTCATATCTGAACAATGCCAAAGCTCAGTGCCCTTGAAGTAATAGTTCTTCCTCAGACCATTTAAGATGTAGATGAGTTTGTTTCTTCTAGGGCTGCCCTCGACTAAAGATTTTTCTGGTCGACTAGTAGTCGTTTATTTTAAGCATTAGTCGACCATTAGTTGCACTTTTATTAATAAACCATATAAATCATAATAATGAGCCTTTAATTGCCTACATAGCCTAATAAGCGCTCAAGCGCACGCAAAAAAGGCTTGCCACAGCGCACCGGCAAATCTAATAATTATGAATGTGTTAGAGAAAAACAGCAAGTACACTGCATTAACGTTTTAACAATTTATTGATACACTAGTGCTTTCTGTTTTCGGTTTAAGAGATGAAGTCGGCGACACTGACTCGTCTGCACACAAATAAACGTAGAGTCTTTACAGATACAAAAGATGCATTACTCTTATCTGTATGACCAAAAATGACGAAGTATTTTAAGAGCAAATGATCGCAGCGCATATGAACAGCGCACTTTTTTCTAGGCTAACATTAGAATGAGCTGCCATGTAAAGTTGCTACTACATACATATTTCAGATGATAAGCCATATTTGAGGTCGATGAATGTTAGGTGAGCGTATGGATGTCCTGCCCGATGTACTATATAACCACATAGACCAGCCGTTAACGATTTGTCCATCACGAACTGCGTGATTTCGCGTGGAATTTTTTTTTGTGCGACTAATCAAATTTTAGTCGACCAAGCCTCTTCTCGTCGACTAATGGTTAGTCGACTATTAGGGTGCAGCCCTAGTTTCTTCATGGTAACAGTCAAATTTGGAGAAACGTAGCATTACATCACTTGCTCACCAATGGATCCTCTGCAGTGAATGGGTGCCGTCAAAATGAGAGTCCAAACAGCTGATAAAAACTTCACAATAATCCACATGACTCCAGTCCATTAATAAACGTCTTGTGAAGCGAAAAGCTGCATGTTTGTAAAAAAACAAACAAACAAAAAAAATCCATCAAGACGTTTTAACTTTAAGCTGTAGTTTCTCGCATCATTATAGACTCTTATTTTGGCTTCCTTCAGTGAAAAAGTCCATCTCCTCTCTTGTCCTCTCACATCAAAATCCACTGACATGTTTGTTTTGAACTGTGTTTCTGTTGTAAACAGTACTTGATCTATGCATATTTCTCTCTTGATTCAGATGAAAAAATATTACGGATAGAAGACTCATATTTTAGCTGGAAGTAGTTAAAAACGCCTTAATGATGAATTCGTTTCTTACAAGCACACAGCTTTTCACTTAAGTCATTAATTGATGGACTGGATTCATGTGAATTACTTGTGGATTATTGTGATGTGTTTATCAGCTGTTTGGACTCTCATTCTGACGGCACCCATTCACTCCAGAGCATCCATTGGTGAGCAAGTTATATTATGCAAAATTGCGACTAAAAAAAGGTTGGGAAACACTGTCTTAGATAACCTGAAGTTGAGTAAAACTTCAGCAAATTTTCCATTAACGCACACTAAATCCTCACTATCAGAGCTTCAGAGTGGTATTCATGCTTAAGCGTATCCCATCATTCATCACGTTCTGGTACTCACAGGGCCCAATATCGTGAGATGTAAAAAACAAACAAAAAACACTTTAAATTAATTAGATATTATATATAATTTGGTAGTAAAATATAATTTTTTGGTATAGAGATTTCTATTTTGCAAAACATTTGGAGTTTTGCCTTCTACAAAGAGGACTACTGAACAGACACTCACTATGTAACAAGTTTATTTTAAAGTGCAAAGTACTCTAAATAAAGCTCTGTAAAAACCTGCATTTCTACAACTCTATGTTGTAAGTGTGTCCCATCAGGTAATTAAAAGTTCAACGCACACTTGCGATCTTTACGCCCACTCGAACACTTGGCTAAATACAGTAAATATGCCATGTAAGTGGACAGTTGGTCAAGTGCAAAGACTGCAAACGTGGGTATTGGGGACAAGCCCTTTGTTTATAGGTGTCATTTTGGAAGTGTTCAAACTTGAACACTCCCAATTTGCCATTAATCTGACAATCCTGGAGGTTAGTAATTGGAAGGTTAGGTTGACCTCCATAGCTCCAGCTGGTAGATGGTCGAACTACATCATCCTGATGGCCAAAACTGTGTTTCTCCATTGACACCTATTCAAAAGTAGCGATTAAGTTGCTTTTTAAAAACAGTAATTTGCAAATCTTCTGGGAAAATGAATGGCAATGCTTTAAACATGACTTGAACTGGTTTCGTGGACTGGTAATCCTCTATGACTAGTCCAAATGAAACGGAGGGGGTGAGGAGAAACAGACACAGCTTTGAGCTACAGAAAAAAGGGGGAAAAGGAAGTCTCCTCACTCATCTATTTTGGCATGTTTACCTTCCGCCCCTGAGGGTTGAGGATTGATTGGTATATTATTCGTTTTGAGGGTGCGAGAGTTCACTTGCATTTAGATGGATGCTCTCCGCCACTCGCAAAACCAAACCCTTTTATTAATGTCAGCGGGGGAGAGCGTGCATGACTCCACATCACAGCACGTCATATCAAACCCTCCGCCGTGGACGCCACTGACCGTATCCGAACAGACGTTGCGACTGTCACGTCCTTCTTTACGTGCACAAGAGATGAACTGAAATGAGTTATAAAATTGGCCCATTTGGTAGGAATATCTTGTATTGTGAGGAGGCCTGAAGGAGCTATAAGCCCAATTGTGACATTCATTGTGTGAAATGGAAGAGGAACGCAATAAAATCGAGGGCAAAACGGCTACCTTTCTCATTCAGAAAAACAGTATATGGGAGTCTGGCTTGTTTTTGGTATAGCTTCTGACTAGTTTAGGGGTCTGTTCAAATCTCTAAGTAATCTGATTTTCAATGATTGGGGTTTGTACAGGATGAAGACTCGTACCTTGGGTGGGGAGTGCTGGTGCTTGCCGGGACCCTGGGGATGTTGCGAGCGCAGGGCACGGGGGATGAACTCTGGGGCCAGCGGGTTGAGCACGTAGGTCTTTTTTAGCTCCAGGGCCTCCAGCTGGATTTTAATCTGTTCAAAGGTGATGCCGTGGAGACTGTGGTTCTCATGACAGATGGAGATGAAGGTCTCCCAGAACTTTCTGTGAAGGACCAAACAGAGGCAGAGATTTTGAGTGAAAACAGCAATTATATAGTGAGATGTTCCTCACTATACATGCCCCATCAACACAAAAAAAACTCCAAGAAGGGACAATCGAGATGAGAAGCTCCAAAATGTTTTGCTAGGACCCACCTAGACATTAAGACCAACATATTGAAAAAAAAAAAAAAAATGGAATGGAAAATGGAAGTGGAAATTAGAGTTCAGTACCCAAGTCATATGTTGATTCAGTAGCTGTTTGGCAGATTCGCAAGTTAATTAAGGAAAGGATTCTTCAAACTGATTCAAACCAGTAACCTGTCAGTTTGTAAGTCACTTTCAATAATTTATTAAAATGATTAAAATAACAACTAATAAGTATCAGACTAACAGGGTTGTGCCCCATTCAAAATTGAATTGTGATCGTCTTTTAAACTTTATTAAGCTGAATTGAGGTAGCAAACAGGATGCTGAATTGCAGCTTGAATTTGAATGAAAGCAACGAATTGAGGGAAAAAAAAAAAAAAAAGAGTAGAAATTCACTTAATTTTTTTTACTAGAAAAGCAATGTTGGTCAAGACAAAGCCTTGTTTAAAAGTTTTGAAAAAGAATACAGACAGAAATATAATTTCTTTTTGGTTTAAACGTGTCATCATATTAAATAAAGTATCTTTTGTTGACTGGGGTGGAAGAACATTTCATTCCCCAAAATACACTGCCTGTGATGAACTTCTTTGAATTGAAATTAAATTATTCATCCTGTTATTCTAATTCAAATCCCAAATCTACTTCCTGTGGAATGTTTGAACAAATCGCTGATCTACAGTGACTCCAAAGCAAAATTGTTTTACTCCTCATATGTTAGAATAATTTAGAACAAACATTTTTTTTAACTTTAGAGAAAAAAAAAAATATACGGCTATAAATAGCCTTTATAAAAATGATAAAAATTGGTAACACTTTAGTATAGGAACCAATTCTCAGTATTAACTAGTTGCTTAGCATGCCTACTATTAACATATGTGACCCTGGACCACAAAACCAGTCTTATATATATATATATATATTTGGCCGAGATACAACTATTTAAAAATCTGGAATCTGAGGGTGCCAAAAAATCTAAATATTGAGAAAATCGCCTTTAAAGTTATCCAAATGAAGTCCTTAGCAATGCATATTACTAATTAAAAATGAAGTTTTGATATATTTACTGTAGGAAATTTACTAAATATATTCATGGAATATGATTTTACTTAATATCCTAATGATTTTTGGAATAAAAGAAAAATCTATAATTTTGACCCATACAATGTATTTTTGGCTATTGCTACAAATATACCCCAGCGACTTAAGGTTTTGTGCTCCAGGGTCACATA